CCGTATAAGAAAGACTTCAGCAATTTAAAAAATCACATGAAGTATTCCAAGCCTCGGTAATACGGCTGTATAAAGAAAGAATATTGTAGGTGCAATATAAATTCCTTAGTGAGGTGGGTATTCCTAGTGGCATTCAAATCAACAAAATCAATAATAGATACATAATACTGTAACCTTAAAGAGCCACTAAACTAAATTCGTGCTTGAGAGAGCCAGAACACAGACATTAAACTACATCTGAAATGACGGCGTATGGACAAATATGTGCAAGCATAACAAGTATAGATGGTGAAACCAATACCTGTTCTAACTACCTCTCTTATCTATATTATAACCAACCAGGAAACCTAAACTGGGCAAGGGATTATTATGAATTTCTTCTAAATTTCATGTTTAACATAGTACCGTATTTTAGACAAATCTTGCTTTTCCAGATTTTACGTGTCACTCAACGTGTTATTCAAACAAAATGCGAATCGCCTTTGACGAAGCTCTGCTTATTTTCATTTCAATAAAGGTTTTTTGTTATTTCCAAATGAATGAAAAACAAAACGTTATTGTTTTTACTGACGTTTCGCTATTTGATGGTAAAAGCTTTATCAAAGTATTATTAAAACGGAATTTACAAAATCTCAGCATATATATAACAAAGAGTTGGAACAGAATCAGGCCACAAAATTGATTTCGACAATACTGAAAAAATCCAGAAATCACAAGGAACGTCTAATATCAGAAGCACTCCATATCAAGTGGAATCCAAATTACCTGAAAAGGAATGATGGAATAAAACAAAATCTGACCTGGTTACAACACCTCCCTCCCGTCCACCATGAAGTGACAAAATCAACACGAATGTGATAAGTAAGTTCACTATGCAAACACAAACAACTTTTATAATTTTACACACTGATAAAATCCAACAACCTACAGTTGATTTTGTTATCTTTACCAGTTCACCAATTTGACTACAAAAGACGACCCCAGACTGACGAACGATGATCAGGTTAGTAAACTTTGTTTTGATATCATAACAGATGTACTAATAACTTTGATATTTGGTTTAGTGATCTTCATTGTTATTTTGACTTTAAATATGTCCTTTGAACTTGACCTAAGTCTACAACTGGTGGATGGTGACTAGCAGTGGAATCCAGACTGCACATTTCCTCCTATTTTGGGACTCGTCAACTGGATGTACTTGCATTTCTCAGTGAGTGATGATGTTCCCACCGAGGCTCGAACCCAGTGCCCATAGTTTCATGTGCAGCGAATAATGTTCGAGAATTTACAAATATGATTTCACACTACTTACTACAGATAAGTAGTATACATATGTAACACAAAAGAAAGAATCACAAGAGGGGGGGAATCGGAATGGAATCAAGAATCTGCTGGCAATAACTTTAGTTAGAACCTACCTGATGACTAATTGTTCATCTAAGTGATGTAATTAAAGAGTGGTGCATTTTATTTTGATGTTAATCTCTCATACTTCCTCTCCCCTTATCTATTTTAACATGACCTCGAAAACATTCGCACCTGTATTTCTCCATGACAAATTCAATGTAGTTTATTTGCTTAGCAGTCTTATATCTCCCAGTTTAACTTCAAAAGTACATATATCCGTGTATTTAGAGTATTCAACTGACGAGTTCTACTGAAATTTGATGAATCCATTAAATCCTGCTTATTAACCTTTATTGCTTGTTTTAAATTCGGGTTACACTTCTAAGTAGTCATACAGGTATGTGGATAGAGAGATAGGTTGATTACCGAATCCTCGTTCATTTAGTCTACAGCCAACACATGCAGCAGGAATGACTCATCACTCATACCAGAGATATGGAAAATAATGGAATTATATAAAGGAAATTTAAGAGTTATGTGAGTTAGTAACTTGATGTGATTATGAGCAATAAATTGCGCTCGAAACTGTGTCATCAGTAAATATCACTGCATGAAACGCTGTTGGACTTTATCAAAATGAATTTTAGGCATAATGGAATTATACTCTACCACAGTGCACAAGTTTTATTCTTATATCAAGCATTGAAAGTTATTTATCGCATTTCGGCTGATTCTTATTTTACTTTACTTCTTTACTTCTAGATTCGGTTCAAGCCATAGGAATCCACCTGAAACAGCCATACCTACGTGTTCAGAAGTGATTCTTATAACCACTTTCTTTACTACTTCGCCCTGCCCTTAAGTAGTTTAAAAATTATAATTGTCCAGATAATTTCATTCCTCTTCAACTGCATATTGCGTAATCAACGTGAAGATAGGTTATTCGCTAATCACTCTTCATTTTTTCAAAATTATTCACTAATTGACTTACTTATCCTAGACATTTCCACCATTAAATTGTGAGTAATAAGTTTCTTCATTGATTATCACCCCCTTGACATGCTTTGTTATTTTGTAATATTCTTATTCCCTTCGGTTCCTGGTGAAACATAGGGTGTCAACAACACACCCCCACTTTGTTCTACTTTCCGCTTTTCTCTTCACTTGGGTCCGTGATCCCGAATAGACAAGGATTCCGCTATGTGCAGACAACCCATTTGAAGTTCCTATGTACAATATTGAGGGTTTCTGTGTAGCACTATGAAGCAGTCATACGGAGGTTGTCGATGTCCAGATTTCACAAGGTGTTTAGGGATGGAGCTGCTAGTATTATTGTCTTTACTCCTCTGGCTAGCCAAGCTGAACAGTGTTTCACAATACGTTTATAGACTTGACGTCGCATACGACCGATATACTTTGCTCCAAACCAGAAAGTTAACTGATAATTACACGTTGGGGCAGATGGAAGCGGCATCATATTCTTGATGTTGAAATAAATTACCATCTGCTTGAATGTCTTCTTCTGACATTTAGAAGGGCGGTTTCTAAGAATTTCTGCTTCCATATCACCTTTGAATACTATGTTTTTGTAGAGAGTTTTCTTAGGAACAATTATAGTTTTTGGTGATGGAGGCTTCTCTTTCATGTTTAGGGTAATAAATCATCGTGAATACTCGTTCTCCAATAGGGTTACACTTAATAAATTTAGTTCATTCTTTATGGTGTTTTCCGAAAAGATTTTTCTAATCCTTGAACTTAATGTACGTACTAGCTTTTGCCTTTAGATCAGTGAAACGAATCTCCGGGAGTCGAAAAACTGTCCCGTCCATGTTTTCTTGCGATATATTGATCTTTGAATCATATAGCCCTGTCTCCTGGTAAGTAGTACATCGAGAAACGAAAATGTCACGGTCGATTTACTATCTAAGGTGAATTTTATCGATGACTCTGCCTTGTTGAAGGTTTTGAGGAGATAGTTTAAATCAGATTTTTCATCACAAATTATGAACTTATCATCTAGGTATCTCCTGTATAAGTGCCGTTAACTTACCGAAGGGTCGAAAATGTTGAGACTTGCCATAAAGCAGTAAACTAGGAGTGAACCGAGAGGACACCCCATGACTACATCATCTTTCTGTATATTTAATTGTTCATAAAATTTGAACTGGATATTAAACGTACATCCGAGAAGTAGTTCCTTCAGGTAGCTGATCTAAAGACGATCTTCTAGGTTGTTGGTTTCGACATACCGCACAAATGAAGCATATTGTCACGTCACGTTGGATGCTTGTAAACAGAATGTGGTGACATCCAGTGCAGGCGTTTGTCTTTCAAACACGCTGATATCTTTCAATGACTCAATGAAATCAAATGTATCCTCAAAGCTATGGTTTATCATGTGTCTTCTTACTGGTTCAAGGATATCAGCTAGCCGCTTCGCTATCTGACAACATGGTGAGTTAACCATCTCTACGACAGGTTTAAGTGGGACATTCTACTCATGCACTTCAAGCAGTGCATATAATCTTGGGATAGTTGAACTGCGTGGTTTTATTCGCCCGAATCCCCCTGATGTATGTTTGTTAATTTCTCAATAAAATTGAATCTATTCATTACCACAGTCCAATCGTCCTTATCACGATGAACGCGGATTATGTCTTTATTTTCTTGAAGTAAAGTTGTTTCCTGGTCAACGGATAACGATGGCTTGATCGTGTAGGAATGTATTTGTAGCAGGTGTCGGTAATTGGATTTTTGAATTGACATTTCACCTACTTCTGAAAATTATTTCGATTAATTCTCGACAGCTGCTACAAGTAAATTCTTACACGACGATTAATGCAGCAGTAGAGATAGAAAGGTAATCATTTAAGACCTCGTATTTGTTCTTGCTTTACTGACTGATTAAGAAAACTCCACTTTTCCTTCAACAGTATATGAATGTATGCTCAGAGATAGTTGTATGAAATGTAAGCATATTTTTAGTTGATTGCAATTTAGCTCACTCAGATTTTTAGGATGTCATTTTTGATGTGAGTTTACCTAAAAACCTTCTCGTTTGCCTGTTTGATTGTTTAATCCACCACTCAAACTGAACTTGTATATACAAGAGGCAACTGATATTCATCTTCTCATAATCTGTCAAGAAATATTTCCTTTGTCTCATAACTACGTCATATGTGAGTTCTGTTTCCTTAATGTCACTGATTTCATCATTTCCATGATTTCCTTCACCAGTTGATCGTTGCTTAACTAATCTAAAGGCTCTTCCTCATTACTTTCTTTTATATTATCACAGGTTTACTAAGGCTTTGTTTCAAAGTCATTTATCAAAACTTTTGGATTATATTCTTATGTTCCGCTCTCACACCACTTTGTAAAACCTTCCTTTATAACTACAGCTGAGAAGAATACAAAATCCTTTCAGTTATTTTTCATGCCTACTGCATATATTTAACCTGTCTGCAGATGGAGAGACGCAATGTTTAGACTTCGGATTTTGTTCTCATCCACTATGGGATTCATTTTGTAAATTCTGTTCCAAAGAATATCTGGAGAAGTTTTTTTTGAGCTCACACTCATTTTCTTTTGAAATGAGACAATGACAGTGAAATGTCCAATGAGACGTGCTAAGACAAAATACATAATTTTGTGAAGTATTATATTTTTAAAACATGAGAAGGTAAAATCAGATCACATGAAGTTTTACTATGAATGATCATTTAAGTGTTATAATGATGACGTATAAACTTGGTGAACAACCATTTTGGGTGTGTGGCAGGGTCTGTGATGGGTAAAGAATAAAGTACATGGTTATTAGTCAGAGGCAACGGCTCAAATATTGGCATTTCAAAACTTTGGAATGACTAAACTGAGATCAATCTGATAAAAAATCAAATTCTCCCTTGTATCCCTACGAATTCCCTTTATTTTTGAAACCTTCACTATTGTTTTGTGCACACTTTATTTTATCAGGTGATGTCGCATGATTGCACAAAAATCAAGATGTGATGTATTTTAATTAACTAGCAGAAGCTAAAAGTTAACCATTAATATACTAAACACTCTTTTGTTACTTCAAGAGCCTATTTAGAAAATATGTAGTATTAGTTCGCCATAATATTAGCCAGCTTCGTTTTATTCACCTGTGACTTTATTGTGATAACGGCTTGAAGTGCTTGACATGAAATAATCAGACAAACGTACATCATGGTGAGTTTTCTGAAATGAATGTCATACATGAAAATACTCGTTGGGGTGATTGTTGAAGATGGTAGGAATTCGTGAAATATAAATTCATGGTAACGGCAACGAAGTCAACCAGTGATTCTCGTTTGTAAAACGTATTGAACAAAAAGGCTTAAATATGCCTATCTACAACTGGATGCAGAGGAGTGCAGATCCTGTAGCTCTTTTCTTGACGTGACATAACGATCTGTATTGTAAACATCCATGTTACATGATCACCAGCATGTATGGACTGCGCACTAATTTACTTTAGTTTTTACATCGTTATAATAACTATTCAATACCAGTTGTTTCAGCAGCTGAAAACAAAGACAAACATTAGTGTTTTTCAAAACACAAACAGCTAACGGTTGTGGCATTCACTCATTCTTGTCGAAAAAAGTTACCGCGGCATGATCCGCTAAACTTACTCAACTCCGCTACATTGCTTAGGTTCATTACTTGAATGGAAAACAGTTCGCAATTTATGGTCTTAATTACAAAAAAGCCTTTTGAATATGAACGCTTGAATATTTTTATGTATCTTACCATCTGCAGAATGTTATCAACATTAGAATACTCCCCGATTTATATGAGAATTTTCAAGTTTGAATGTATTCATCAAATAAGACTCGCAAAATGAATGCATCTACTTTTGGAAGACCTATTTCAAATACTAGATTTCACGAATTTGATTGTGACGTAAGTATACACATGCTATTTATGTTTATCTAGTGAAGAAAGTCTTGTTAACATCATGTTTTCTTTCCCATGTTGAATGAATATACTCAGTCTACTTGCACCTGTTTCACAGTTTTGTATGTAAGGAGCTAACGTCTTACACTTATTGATCGTAATAAATGTTCAGAGGGCATTTAACTGATTTGAAGTTGGGTCTCAGCTGATTTCAAGTTAGATCTCAGCTGGAGACGAAATGCTTCTGGGAACCATTAGGAAATAACGAAAATGAGTTAACTCTTTCGTCCTGTTTTACGATTCCCCAGAAGCATTTACCCATAGGCACATCCAGAAACATGTTTTACACATTCAGGATATTCAGCGGGCAATGTAAAATTCAAGTTCTAAGAGAAAACTTAGTTATTTAGGGAAGTGCACGTGGAAGTTTGGAGGAAATCTGTTGTTAGCCCTGAAACCACGCTTCGTCGATTCGAGGAACTCAATCATGTAACACTATGGGATTATTCACGGATATGTAGACAAACTTCAGATTCTATAGTTTATTGAACAATATGAATCCATTGATAATATCACTGAAATACATTCACTCGAATTGAAATGCAAGGTAGAAAATCAGGGAATTGGAAAATACGAAGTAACGGTGAACTAATTCATTATTTCATATACTAATAATTTCTCCCTTTTAGTGGGCCATCATTCGGAGATCTGTGAAAACTGCGTTACATATGAATTCATTACTGTGTACTCAAATAACTTACAAGTTCTAACATTTTTGCCTTAGAAGGACCGATTTTACAAGAATGCTAGTAAATAATTGAAAAAGGGTTAAATAATGCCATCTGTTTTTAGTTTAAAACTGTTCATAGAGTTACAGGATACAACTACGTTTGTTCATTCAAAAAATCTTTTCACAGCCCTTTTATGGAGGTCAAAATTGCCTAAAGTTCTGATATAAAATTTTAAATGTAGGAGTTCCTGACAAAATTATCGATAAAACGTTCCGAAGATCAGTAACACAATAAGCAGTATTATATTTCAGTTAGAGCAGCAGTGAAAACCAGGGAGTACTGGACGGCTCTTTCATCCTGGTTTGGGAATTATCGGCAGTACCCATTGCCTGGAGTCCGAACCCAAAACCTTCCGGTTATATGGCAAGCTCGTGTACCACTCGGCTACTGGGACCCGATTCAATGGCTCGTAAATTCTAAATTCTACCACTTCGTGATTAAGCGTAACCCCAATCAACGTCGTGACCAATGAGGTCCATCCAGTCACGTGTGAGGATGGATGTCCCACGAACATCATTGGTTTGGGTTGCGCTAAGTCATGAATTTCTAGAATTCGGTATTCGTGAGCCATCAAATTGGGTCCCAGTGGCTGATTAGTATACGAGTTTGTCTTGTAACCGTAAAGTTCTGAGTTCGAATCACCTGTATTGGGTGCCTACACCCGATGATTCCTAAACTAGGATGAAACAGCTGTCCACTACTCCCTGGTTTTCAATGGCTCTCTAAATGATATCAATCCGTGATCAACTCGTAAAAAACAAAACTGATCCTTACAAACCAACTATAAAGTAATATATATCTCGTACTGCCTTCGGTACCTGACATACCGTTAAATGTAATTGCTTGTCATCCGATCCCCTCATTTATTTAGTTGTGAGATTTTTTAACTTCAGTATATACGAAGAATGCCGATTGATTTACTTGAAACCTAAGAAAATACACACTGAATTAGATATTATGCTTTCGTGGAAAATAAATGGCCTCTCTCCATTGCAGATATCTGTGAGTAATGAAGCAATAAGATGAGCAAACGAATGTGTCTATTAGTGCATGAGGTGATACATCTTTCAAATAACTGACGACACATTATTACCTAAAATAACACACACGTAGCATATCCGCGTTACATCACCTTAGTTATTTAGGAAATCAATTTCACAGATATAGTTTATACATTCACACCATTGACAAATAATTAGAATCCTGCATGTATAAACACGCTTGAATAGTCAAATAATAGAAATATCCAGTTGATATTGAAATATTGTTTCTAATATATGAAACGAATAAATTAATGCATGTGTACTAAATATCTGAACAGATTTTTGCATTTTTTTTAGGAATTTAGATTAGTTAACGAGAAGTGTGCATGTTCATTAGCGGAAACCTTGAACCAAATACCATGTGATATCAACTGAACTTTAAAAAAACTAATTTTTATGTTGTTCTCGTACAAGTAACTTCGTTTCCTTTGCAGATTTGAACAATGAAATAGAAACTGTGACACAGTACACCACTTTTTAAAAACAACAAACTGTCATCACTTACACCCTGGGAGTTTCTTCTTTTCTTCTTCTCCTGATAAAAGCATCACAAATTAATTTTCGAATGCACTGACTAAGTTGATGACTTAATATCAACTATGACAAAAGTCGTTTCCAATGAAAAACCACTCCAAAATTACACTGTGATGTATCGGCTGTGAATATTCAGCATAAAAGTTCCACCATTGAGATTTTTGTTAAAACAATCCCTACTTAATTATCCAAAGTTTCGCTTGGATTTTGATCGAAAGAGAGATGAGCTTAAATAGTTCATTATTGTTACAGCTACAGTTTTATAGCCTGAAAGAATGTAGATGGATAACCCTGTCATCCTATAACAACAAGGAAAGATGTTAGGAAAAGTAAAGTTTCACTAGAAGTTCGGCCTTACCTTGTGGTGGTGGTGGAGGGGATACGGAGAAGATTCAAAAATGATGGCAAATTTGTTGATTCAAATCCATATATTTTATAAGAGATGCATTAGAGCTATTCCAAATGACTCATTTGGTGATGAGTAATTAATTGAAGTATGGGCGTTATTTTGCGCTTATTCACTATCGAGTTGACGAGTTAAATTCTGACTTCAGCTCGAGCAAATACAACAGTTTGTTCTGCTATGACCATGCAAAAATGTCCCAATAGGCTTAAAACACACGCTGTGATTCCAGTTAACCACAAGCATGAAAACAACTACATTTGTGAACACTTCTTTAGATGATGTAATGTTAAAGATATTTCAGCGATTGCACTGCATGTGTTAACACAAAATCACACAATAGGGTGTGACTGAGTCAAAATTCTTATAAGTAATATAAGTAGGTGGAGAGTGAGATTGATTACTGAATCTTGGTTCATTGAGTCTACACTCAACACATGCAAAAGGAATAACTCAATGTGAATACCAGAAACATGGGCGATATCATAACCACCGGTCAAATCAGAAGAGGATAATAAATAATCTCAAAATTCGAATTCACTTCAAGTACACCACAAAATTCTAACAAGTTACATATTATGACTACAAAAACAGTCGTCTTATTTCACATCTGATTATAATTGATCAATGACACTCATATTATTATTTCTGAATGTACTTTATCCTATATTGATTTTTACTCTAATGTGCAATCATCAATTTCACTCATGTATATAAGTGAAGTAAAACGTTGTGTGAGTAGTGACTTGATATGATTATGAGTGGCAACAGTTAATGCTCGAAACGTCATTAGTTAATACTACTGTGTAAAACTGTGTAATTTATCAAAATAAAATCGTATCCATCATGGAGCTATACTCTACCACAGTGTCCACGTTTTATACTTACATCAATATAAGCAAACGAGAACATTTACACGCACTGTGAATATGTTACAGAAAGGTAAATTCTGAAGGAACTTACTATTTATGCCTAGGGTTTGTTACCATCAACGAGATTCGGATTGATTCGCAGCACACTGGTGACATGAAAGTGCGAGAGGGCTTAGCAATCAGTAGTCATGATTGTATAAAACAATATTGTTGCTGAGAAAGGCCTGTGATTTTCAAACCTATCTATTCGAAAAATCACTCAGAAACACATTATTGGAGATATTTTTTGTCTTAGAAGAAAACAACAGGGTCATTGGCAAATAAGGTCATGGGTGGCCAGAGTCTTTGTTCCTTAATAATTTACTGAAGTTTTCTGTATTCAAAGTTTCAACCTTTCACTAGCAAATATCTGAACTGCATTCAAATTGAAATTACACTGTAATTTTCTTCAGTCTCAGGATTACAATTTTAGTGGATTGAAACAACTCGGGGAGCGGTGACTTTGCATACTGATATAGCATTCAGAAGTTTTGAATAAACAAATTTTAATTTCACTTACTATAAAGAATCTTTTTAGCTTAAAAAATTCAGCAAGTAACTATGTTGAAAGCATCTTCGTTATTATATACAAACAGTGAATTCAGTCAGAATTATTAATGAAGGCCTGCGGCAATTGAAACTTTCTTCATCTTTCCATGTTGTTGTGCAATTTTGATTTAAGTTGACTTAGAAAGGTTTTCACATTAAAGCTGTTCCAGAGGTGAAGTTTCAACTGACAAACATTTATGCACACTTTCATGGTCATTGATGAAGGGACTGTAGTCGATTTCGAATAACTTTATGTAAGGTCAGTCTACAATTACATAATTTCGAATATTATACTATTTCAAGTAAATATAGGATAGCCATCTTCGTTTTGTGATGATCGGTTTCTAGAACTACAAGTTTACCATATATATGCATATATATCACCAGCGAGTTTCAATATAACTTGAAAATGTAGAGCACATAAGCTCATTTAAAACCATTTTAACTTATTTCATGTCTATGTTGTTCATGGGGAATATATCTGAATTTTCTATCAATTCCATATTCCAGAAAATTTCTATGGCTGATATGTTAACAACATTCTACCTTACGCATAGAATTTTGCTACCAATAAACCGTATATGGCATATGATTACACTAATATTTTGAAACAATTGCCTATAGGACCTACCAGCCACTTCTGTTTTACGTAGTAGAAATAGAAATTTTATATAATTTGACACATTCTTTCAGAAAAGCTTCAGCAGATACAAATACATTTTTCGGATAAATTTTATTAGATCAACAAGGGATTTTCTGTTTCCCTATACCGCTGTATCAGTACATGAAAATCTATGAAATGACAAGGGATGAATTCACGAGGGGAAAATGAAATTGACACATGAAAATAACAGCAATTTTTACTATACCAGTAACTTACTGACACATTCTGTCGAATGTGGAAGGTGACTACTGTAAAAGTGATTGAAAGTATTGAACAATTAAACCATATCGACGTCTGTAAACCGATTCGAAAATAAAATCTCACTTAGGTTTTATGATAGTAAATTAAAAGTTGGTAAAGAGGAATTTCAGTGCTGAAGAACACAAAGTACACCTAAATCATTTGAGATTATAAATCAGTATAGACCTAATCTATATTTCTAAATGATTTCTAAATAGCGAATTCGATCAGAGGCGCAATTTTAAGTTAAGTTTGGAATTACTGTAAAATGTAGGTCACATTTTGGGCATAAGTCTGGAACTCCATCCTCTACAAACGGTATTTTATAGAAGTTGTTGGCTAGTCTAGTTGTTTACTGTCCAACGTCTATAAGGTTTGTTTAACTGACAAGAAAGTAATTTTACTCAATAAATATCCGTAAATAAACTTTCCAGTGCAGTGTTAATTTTTGTTGACATGTCATTTTGGTCTACAGTACACTCACCTGAACTCTCTAAATCATCAATAAAGTGCACATTTCATTATGTTGTATCCGCTTAATAAAGGCAGATGCTTTTCATAGGTTGCATCTCTTTTGAGAGACAAAAGCAACCTAGAAGTAAGGATATGCTGTTTACAAAACAACATTCATATTGAATTCTGGTGTTTGGGAAATTTGAAATACATAATAAATCAGTCTTCATAAGGTGTATTTGGTAAGATCAGTAGAGTGTAAGCGAAGTTTACAAGTAAATGGTCACGTAACACTGCCATGTAGTTGTGTGTATATTGTCAATGTGTGGTTTCAGGATATAAGTTTGCTTTGAGTGGATGAAGGTCACTGTGACCCTGGAATGTTTGTGGGAAGCGATTATGTGGGATTCTTGTGGATACAGCTTTTGATTCCATGGATTTGCAAATGATCGTCTCGATTCTAAAATACCGTTTACAGCTGAACTTTGGTTAAATAATTTTGTAATACAGTACTTATTAAATATTCAGATTGCAGAGATCCTGGACCTGTCCCTGATTTCTGAAGACTAAACTTAATATGCAGAACACTATGCACTGCAACTGACGTAGAAATACACGTTGCTTTATTCTTCAAGCCATAACGAGAATGATTTACAATGGTTAATCAGTACCACACTATATAAATAAACGTTAATGCCATTTACAAGAATACTTCTGATCATATTTCTACAATATTCCGCCAACCAGTACACGACTGAGGAATGACGTCGTTCGTGTCACCCGCCAATGCAGAACAGTTCGAATGAACAAACTATTCAATGATCACCAACATTGACAGTATGTGCTTTGAGTTTAGAAACGCACCTGGCCTGCAATGCTGCTTCAGGGCACCGTTGGCTTATATTTGAGTTATTATAATTATTGTTTAATATAACCGCAAAAGTATTAGAGAATATAGGTATTTTCTGTGCCTATGTGCATTTTGTGAAAGCGTGTGTCTCAACGAAGTTTTCTCGGCTGTACAGTGGATTGTGAACGTCAGGTTTTTGCGTTCAGACCGTGACTGAATAGATTTAGTTGCTACACACTCATAATAATGATATCCGAGATGTAAATAAAACTGACTTACTGATTGCCTTGTTAACTTTTAAATTGAATTTCACAGTCTCAACACACAAAGGTGACATAATGAATTCAATTTAGCCAAAATGATTAACGGCTCAATCAGCTTAACATGAACCAGATGAAGAGACAAGTGTACAGTCAATGAACAAATATGCATTCTTAAGCACATTGTTATCATTACTATTATCAGTGAAGTGAATCGCATTCATTCAACAGTGAATAAATGTTGAGGATTAGTAACCACGCAACCGTGGCTATAAGTCACCTGCCAATAATCTCAAAGTGTTTAATCTAAATTGATCAGTATGTAATAATCTGAAATTACAGTCTGCTTGTTTTCTATGTTTTAATCTGAAAGGCGTAACTGTTGTACCCAGGTAACATATATTCCCAATTTGACTTACGCTTATACCACTCAATTACATCAGCGCTGAATGTATCCATTGGAGCCTTTTAAATCATGCTTCTTATATAAGCCGGTGGGTCAATCACTAGTTAGTGTGATGAGAGGACAATCGTAATCTCCAAAGAATATTTCGACGGCTGTTGCATTTCAGATGAATATCCGGTTAGGTTTTATTTTCACTGTACACAAATGAGATTTCTCACAGGTTTTGAAGTGTCATACGTTTGGCTGAGATCTGTTTCAGTCAATAATCGACCGGCAAGCAATCCAAAGTTCCATTCTTATTACAAAATGGTTCTGTGATATTTACGAAGTCATACTTTTACTATTTATTTTTATGTTTTTTTCAAATTATTTCACTCGTCCTACCATGGCTAGACTATAGTTCTCACTGTAATTTTGCTTCTTTTTATTATGTAAGTTTACTATCATCAATAACACTATTCTCATCATCCTTATTTTATTGTTACTCTACTTGGGTTTATCGATAACATTGCGTTTTCATACCATTTCAATGAAGAAACTTCATCGTCTTTACACTAGTTCTTGTCCACTCAGCACAATAATACTGATTAGTCATTTCCTCAGGCTTTGTGGCGTCACCCCAACATTGCTCATTATTTTCTAGTTCTCAGTTAGTCGCACCTTTTAGGTTACACCCTACACTAATTAATACGTCAATTGAGGACACATTTTATCAGTAACTGGTTGACCTTATAAATTCTTTGTTAAATGTAATTACCTTTTTACAGCAGCTTAAGATAATGAATCATTTGCTGGTCCTATTCAAGTAGGTAGTTACCTGGGGTTCTGGTGAGAAGTCGTAACCAGTAGGGGAGCAGCAGGTCAGTTGTGATAACAAATACTCGCCGGAGATGACAATGGCTAGCGGTTGCGCTATGTCGTGAATCGGCTTAAGTCGGATCAGTGGCTAAATGGTCTTCGAGCTCGCTTGTAACCATTGCAGAGTGTCGAACTAAGACGTAAAAGCTGCCCACTACTTCCAGGTTTTCCAGTGGTTCAGTAACTTATTTCTGCTCATTGTAAAATCCTGCTACCGTCTTCATCAAAGATTTTAAATAATGGAAGAACACAAACGCGTTCTTTGTGTAAGCAGTTGGGACTCTTCATCAATACATAACAACATAAGTGACAACTGAATGAAATCAAAAAACATTGACTCACGCAATGCCTTCATCTCTTCCTCTGAATATTTACAGAAATCATTATTTTGGCATGATATCCATTGTAGGTTTACCTCAAATGCAGAAGGTTATCGAATAGAGAAAGTAATTAGACCCGTTTTTTATCTTTTGATGAATCATAGCATTTCTATTAGAAATCGTCAAAATATGAACCTTTCAAAGTAAATATGAGTTTGATTAGGAAATCACACCAATGCAAACATCAGCAAATTTTAATTGTTTCTTTACATTATCCTTTATGAGCAACTAATAATTCCAGTCAACACTGATGGTGTTCATTTTGTTTAGAAATTTCTCTCTCATTGTATTTACTTGTGACATTCACAAATCAAAATTCAGCCATTTTGGAATTAATTAAAACTGAAGCACCAATTCCGTAAGTCAAATTGATGTTTACATTACAACTTTACTTTTGCTTTTCACTGAATATCAGTTCTAATTAAATACGTAAAATTCATTAAAAAATTGTTTGTCTTACTCAGTTCACTGCAGCCTTTCGGGTTGTTACCTTGGTAAAGAATAAAGTGTTTGAAAACAGTGGTTCAATTTTCAAAATACTTGGAACTATGTCCTTCAATATAGTTCGAGTAGATGGACAATAATATGTATGGTTATACGCTACTTCTGATTTTGAAAACACATTTAGAGACATCGGAGGAAGGGCGCATAAAACGCACAATGAGCAACATTTCATTTTCAAGGTATACACTGTCTACATAATTCAACTACCAATACTTATGATGATTAAAGTTAACAGTATGCGTATTGTAAGTGTCACGTCGATAAATACAACACCAAAATATTATACAAACTATTGGAAACGGAGAAAAGTCCATTTTTATAGATGACTCAGTGCCATAAACTGGATAGTGTTCAAATAAGTCCGTGTTTCACTGTATCACAGAACATGTTTACGCATAACAAAAATAAAAACGACTGCTCCTCTTCACAAAAATAAAGAGTTTCACACAGTCATATTTGGAAGCGTTTTACTATCTTCATTATCAGATTAGAACTATAAGTCGTAGAAAAAGAGCTAACTTGGTGACAGCAGTTACGTGATTTGCTAATGTTGATTTTTATTTGAGCTATACCACAGAAATACATTCTTTGTTGTATAGGCAGTGATTTCGCTTTATAAGAACATGGAGTTATTAGAATAATGCTTATAGAGGGATTGAAGCCTGCCCACTTTGAATGACCTTAATGCATCTAACAGACATCTATGCAATTATACTTTACAAAAATATAAATGTGGCATATCGTTCGCCCTTCAGTAAATATTTCAAAAATTTATTCTATTAAACACAAAGTAATTGAGAAAAGAGTATTCTTGTCGATAACTTCCTATTCCCGCTCTACAATTATATCTTTATGTTTATATACATAGAGCATTCTAGAATAGTAGTCGTAAACAATATTAGTGTTTCATAAGTAATATCGATTTGTGAAATAAGACCACAATTGAATTACAGTTCATCAAACATGCATAAGTTAAAATAATCATAATATAGATATAATAGCAAATAGAATATCAACTGAAGTTACGACTTCTTGGTATTCGGTAAATGATTCTGGCAGCCTCGTCGACATCAATCTTGTGTTCTCTATCGACATGACGAGATAGAATAGCGCTACGAATAGATTTTTTTACATAGGCCATTCAACTAGGCATGATTTCTCTCCAATTTCCAAACATCACCCGGTGTCGTTAAGTAAAGGACAAACAAATCTATTCACGGGGCTATTCTATCTAATCTTGTTGATACAAAACACAAGATTGATGTAAACGAGGATTTCGAGGTCATTAACCGCATACCAACAAACCTCACCTTCACCACATTAGTTCGATTATTAAATACTGTTGAGGCCGGGATGCACATCAATAAGTTTAATTTGTGTGACCAAAAGTAGCTAGCTCAGACAATGTCCTTACCTTGGCCATCTAGGTTTGAATGATCCTGAATGTTTGTGTTATTTCCGTAATTTTAGTTGATATTATATTTGCTATTATATTTTACTATTATTAGTATATTTTGTGCATCCCTAATGAACTGTGATTCCTACTTAATAAATATATATTATTTAAAAACACTAATATTCTTATTGACTAGTATTCTAGAATGCTTTATGTTTATAAACATAAAGATATAATTGTAGACCTAAAAGAGTAGTTATCGAAAAGGATATTCTTTTTTCAATTATTTTGTGTTTTATAGATGTCTGATTGAATATTTTCGCTTATTCTATTAGTCAGTAAAGAAAAACGTAAACACTCCTATCAGATATCATCAGTTAACGTATTATTTCATAATCAGTGTCACATACTTCTATCAACTCACAAAAATGTTTTTTCTTGTTTTGCTTTACCTCCTCAGATATCACTAACTTTTAAGTTTCAGTGAAATATTTAATCCCGATATGCACATTGGACAAGTGTATTATTATTATTTATTATTATAGCCTTTAATTCTTAGAGGAACATAGGGCTTCAGCTGTGCGTCTTCATTGCCTTTTGTTTTCTGCCAGCGTTTTCACCCCGCTCGAAATCTGCCCACACGCTTTCATCTCATCTTCACATGACCTCCTCCAAGTCACCTTTGGACGACCAACTCGCCACTTCACTATCGATTGCTGGTTGATTCGCTCCCAGAGATCCCTGTAGCTAATCATTCCCGGTTGGACATCTGATCTTAAGTATTGAGCGAAGACCACAGTTAATGAAGGTCTGAAGTTTGTTTGAGATGCTCTTTATGACGCGCCAAGTCTGTGACCCGTATAGTAGCACTGACTGACTTCACATTGGAGTTGAAAATCTGGATGTTATTTTTGATGATGCGTGTTGTTGACCTCCACACAGACTTGAGTGTAGTGAAAGCCTGTCTTGCTTTTCCGATTCTTACTTTGATATCCTCGTCAGTTCCTCCTGTAGTTGAAACGATGCTTCCAAGAAAGGTGAAGGAGGTTGTTTCTTTCAGGTTCCTCCCATTTATGTTAATTGTTGTCTGTTGTTGTTGCTTTTGGTGTTTGTCAGGAATCTTCATCACCTCTGTTTTATCTGTGTTCACCTGAATTCCTATCCAATCTACTGCGATCAGGAAAATCATTGGTGGTAGTAGGCAGACTTGTCTCACTTCCGTCCGCACCCTAAGAAATCAGTAAGTTTCCCGTTGCTGATTACTTGGCATGCAGAATTATCATATAACTCTTGGATGAGATGTTTAATTGTCGAAAGCACCCAGTAGTAGCAAAGTAGTTGCCACATGACCTCTTGATCGACGCTGGGCTGTCAAAGGCCTTTTCAAAGTCGATGAAGTTGGGTGAGGTAGAGAGGTGACTGCCATTCCAAGCTTTGTTCAATGATGATCCGTAGAGTGGCGATTTGATCAGTACATGACTTGTTTCTCCTGAATCCAGCTTGTTCTGGTTGAATTTTTTCATCCAGAGTGGCTTGTTTGATTCTCTACAAGATGATGCGGCTTAGTATTTTGCTTGGGATGGACAGGAGCATAATTCCACGCCAGGTTTTGCTATGAGTCAAGTCTCCTTTCTTTGGTAGTTTGAATAATTATCCTCTCTTCCAATCCTCGGGTACTTTGCTCTCTTTCTTCACCTTTTCCAGACAAGTGTGCTATCACATTATATCATGAAGCACTCAGATATACATATCAAACATTACAACTATGTCCTTATCATTTCATAGAATAATTTTTCCATCTTAGTCAATTGCTTATTAGTAGTTGATCAGGCATTTAAGGTAAATAATACGATTCATCCAGTAGGCCTACACAAAGAAGGGATGAATATTCACTATCAAAATACTCTCGATATTAACACCATCTTAGATATAGGCAAAAGGAATGGCTTACCTCCTCCAAACACAACTCCACAGAAGACAAGACAGAATGGTAGCAGTATTATCCAAACGTGTCGCATTTCAAATAACGCTTTGTTTCAGAACAACGGTATTTATATCATTACTGGTATCAACACAAATACATATTCATATGTGTATTTATATGTATATGAAATGAAAATATATGTTAGTTTGAGACTCTTGATAAATACATTCAAATGTTGTGTATAAGTGATTTTATTTTTCAAATATGTTTCAAAAATTCCTTAAAATAACAAGCCCCTTCATAATCTTATTGTGATTTCAACCAAAATGTAACTGATGTTTAATGTACAGTCGATTCTATGACGCACAGAGATTAAAATCAATTTTCATTGGTGGTAATATAATACTAATTTCGATTCTGAATACGTAGCTATTTCATAACCATCACATTATGACATTTTTCCAGATATCTGATATATTTTCACAAATCATAGTGAATTACTCATCAATAAAGTGACATGTATAGTTAATCAGCGCTAAAAAATGTTCTGGAGGAATTAAGTATACACTGAGAGGATGTTCGAAGGAGACGTAAGCATGTCTCCCGGAGACTCACAATTGTAAATGGTTCTATGATTTTTTAAGTAAATATTTCAATGGAAGACTTAATTATAAATTTAGCAAAAGCAGTCAATTCTTTTTTGTTAAAAAGCGTTGAAATTTGCTGAAACCAATTTATACTTTCTAGTATGTGAATGTCCTCAATTTCTTGAGACAGTTTTTGTCTGCTATGCAAAGAGGTAAGAGTCAAGAATGCAGTTGTAAAAAGTTTGGTTCTAAGACATCTCTTGAAGATAACAGCTATGTGAGTAAAACGATCCAGATATGTACCTAGGGTTTTAAGATCGATGACTTGGTTGCATATCGTTCAGCATATATATATACATTTGTATTAAATGAATAGACAATAACCATCATACACTTTCATCGGAAAGAATGATTCTGTGTTCATAGGAAGCATCACTCCAGCTGCTACACTTGTGTACACCCGTTTCTGGAGTTGTATTTGCAGGAGGTAACTGTGCTTTATATCGACATCTGTCGATATGATTTGATTGAAAATTTTTCGAATGTAGTTCATTAAGGTCTTCTTTTGAGTGATTTAGACAATTCAAGTTAAATCCTGCATCAAAGAGAAGCAAACTATCGATTTATGCCTTTCTACTACTTCCATTATCTTCCGAATAGAAAGAGAACGCCGCCTCTCTACACTGCTGTCACCTCTCCTAAAGCCTACGACAAGTTTTCATTTTCTCTTCACATGTGCTTAACCATGTCTCTATCCGTATGCGCTTTGGACAAATATGTCACATTCAGGCGGTGAGGTGGAATACAATGGAGTACGAATCCTAACTGCTACTAATTTACGATATATCGCGCCACCAGTAAGGTAATACTTTTAATTATTCACTGATAAGTAGATAGCTACAAGCTGAGACCTTAGTTTTTACTAAATTCTACTAGCGAATTTTGTTTGCTAACTTGGGTAACTCTCTATCCTGTTCGGAAACAAGCAACAGGCTACTCTGTACTCAGATTGTGTGAATATAAACACTAACCAGTAAGGTATTCAATCACATATGATTATTCGAATATGCAGAGGTTACTTAACAAATTTAGTACTGGTAAATACTTTAGGTCTTTGACAGCATGACTACAACTTAGTCTTCTTTTGAGTACAGAGCAGATGGACAGCCCCATATGATTCATCCTTCAAAGTAATCTACATGGCAAAATCGAATCGCTCCAAAAGCTTACATTCTCTCCCATTATGAATAGCTGAAGCTTTAGCTATAAATGAACAAAAACCTAAATTATGTGTTCTAAAACGTTTTTTTAAAACCCATTTCTTTACCTTGGCTATAGTAATGTTCTTTCTAGTTTTCATTTTATTTTACCACTTGAATTCATTCCACTTCACTTCACATCTTTATTTTTATCGTAATCGTAATAGCCGGAAAGAATCACGAACGAGAAACGATTGGAAGAAACAAAACAAGAACCAATCGCCAATCAACTAATAGGCAGGAGGAAGTGGAGATGGATTGGACACTCGGTGAGTAGGCCGCTGGGTGATATCGCGCGTCAGCCCATTGCTCTAGTGGAACCCGAAAGGGAAGTGGCGAGTGAGACGTCCAAAGGTGACATTGAAGAAATTGTGTGAAGAGTAGGTGAAATAGTCTGGACTAACATGGATGCAGGTGAAAAGTGGTGCGTCGGTGGCACAGTGGTTAGGACTCTCGCCGACTATGCACATGGTCCGGGGTTCAAGCCCTCGCCGACGCACACCTGATATCTATGGTCGGCCTGCGAAATTTGGGCTACCGATATCCATGCTGAAAATTCCGTACTTGTACCAAAAATACAGTGTGGAATCAAGCTGTAATCAAAATAAATAAAATAAAAAAAGATAAAGGTACTTCAGAAGACAGAAGCAAGTGGAGGCGTACATTTGAAGCCCTATGTTCCACTAGGAACTCAAAGGAACAATAATAATAATCTTAATCCTAATTTTTTTGGACAACTCTTGACGTTTTTCTTTTAAAAGTATTTTTGGTATCAATTCACTTGTGAAACAATCTCTTATAATTTTGTAATCCATTCGCTTCAACTCTACCCCTTTTAACATTTTAATTATCGTTATCACCAAAAATACCCATTGATTCATGAAGAAAATAAAAGACAGATTCAGTGAAGAAAATTTTCTTTATTGACGAAACCATCTCCAGAGGCTGTACAGTCGTATTTATACTTATATATGTATATTGACTGAGCAATTATTTAGTGCCACTTAATAACCTTTTCTGTAATATAAATACGACTGTACATCTTGAAAATGAAGTCGTTGAAAAGAAATTTCTTTGCTAAACAAAAAACGCTGTGTTTCATGAATAAATGGGTATTTTTAGTCGTTTGTTAATTTTGTTATAATATTTAAATGTATTTATTATAAGGCTGGAACTTGAACTTATATTGTATTTTGGATTTTACATCAAACTTAAACATTTCGTTTGGTTAAATGAAAGCTCGATTCATTTTCAGGCAGAAACTGATCTATACTAAAAGCATAAACATTCTTTTGGAAACCCTCTGTCCACCTGTTACCGTTCCACGATTCTCGTAGTCGATAGTCATACTTGACTGAATACAGCTTAATCTGTTGGAGGCTGAAAGAACGTTAAATGAAATAACATAGGAAAGGTACTTCAGCGGTTATTTTAAACCAAATAGAAATGTGTTTGTAACAGCTATCAACGAATGCGAACATCTACAATGTCATCATCTGAAACGATATTCATGATTCATGAAACTAAGACGAAAACAGTGAGTAGAGATTAGTCATTCACAAATAATAATGTGGTTTATTCTTGTACGTCTCATTATCAACTGGACATTATCACTTATTTTATACTTATAATTTCATAATTCTTTCGGAAATATTTGACTGTAAGGTTGTTTAATATTTTGTTATATATTTAGAAACCCCTGAATGAATCTCTGATAGATAATTGATATCAGTTAATTCAACTTAAATGTAAGGATTACTGATCGCTTATTTAAAATCAAATTTACTGGCAATCAACTTTGTAAATTTGATTTTAAATAAGCGATCAGTAATCCTTACATTTAAGTTGAATTAACTGATATCAATTATCTATCAGAGATTCATTCAGGGGTTTCTAAATATATAACAAAATATTAAACAACCTTACAGTCAAATATTTCCGAAAGAATTATGAAATTATAAGTATAAAACAAGTGATAATGTCCAGTTGATAATGAGACGTACAAGAATAAACAAGATTATTATTTGTGAATGACTAATCTCTACTCACTGTTTTCGTCTTAGTTTCATGAATCATGAATATCGTTTCAGATGATGACATTGTAGATGTTCGCATTCGTTGATAGCTGTTACAAACACATTTCTATTTGGTTTAAAATAACCGCTGAAGTACCTTTCCTATGTTATTTCATTTAACGTTCTTTCAGCCTCCAACAGATTAAGCAGTATTCAGTCAAGTATGACTATCGACTACGAGAATCGTGGAACGGTAACAGGTGGACAGAGGGTTTCCAAAAGAATGTTTATGCTTTTAGTATAGATCAGTTTCTGCCTGAAAATGAATCGAGCTTTCGTTTAACCAAACGAAATGTTTAAGTTTGATGTAAAATCCAAAATACAATATAAGTTCAAGTTCCAGCCTTATAATAAATACATTTAAATATTATAACAAAATTAACAAACGACTAAAAATACCCATTTATTCATGAAACACAGCGTTTTTTGTTTAGCAAAGAAATTTCTTTTCAACGACTTCATTTTCAAGATGTACAGTCGTATTTATATTACAGAAAAGGTTATTAAGTGGCACTAAATAATTGCTCAGTCAATATACATATATAAGTATAAATACGACTGTACAGCCTCTGGAGATGGTTTCGTCAATAAAGAAAATTTTCTTCACTGAATCTGTCTTTTATTTTCTTCATGAATCAATGGGTATTTTTGGTGATAACGATAATTAAAATGTTAAAAGGGGTAGAGTTGAAGCGAATGGATTACAAAATTATAAGAGATTGTTTCACAAGTGAATTGATACCAAAAATACTTTTAAAAGAAAAACGTCAAGAGTTGTCCAAAAAAATTAGGATTAAGATTATTATTATTGTTCCTTTGAGTTCCTAGTGGAACATAGGGCTTCAAATGTACGCCTCCACTTGCTTCTGTCTTCTGCTGTACTTTTCACCTGCATCCATGTAAGTCCATACTCTTTCAACTCCTCTTCACACAATCTCCTCCATGTCACCCTTACACGGACGTCCCACTCACCGCTTATCTTTCGAGTTCCACTCGAGGGCTTGGTGCGCGATGTCACCCAGCGGCCTACTCACCGAGTCTCCAATCCATCTCCACTTCCTCCTGCCTATTAGTTGATTGGCGATTGGTTCTTGTTTTGTTTCTTCCAATCGTTTCTCGTTCGTGATTCTTTCCGGCTATTACGATTACGATAAAAATAAAGATGTGAAGTGA